TTAAAGTAATTATTTGTGATTTTGTGCGCACAATTTTTCTCGTTCAAGGTTTCGAGAACAATTAGCGGCACATACTCTGCCTTTTCGCACGAGTTTCGATGAGCATTTTATCGCCAACGAGTCGTTACTTTTTCAGATAAAGAATCTACGCACTGGGCAACCCATCGCACTAAGAGACTGAAGCGTATGAGGTCAATCAAGATTCCGTGTCCTAATCCGAATTGCCGAAGTGTCTTTGCGTGGAAAAAGAATCTGATAAGTCACCTTCGTTACCAATGTGGCCAGCAGCCCAGGTTCAAATGTCCCTACTGCGATTACCTGTGCAAAATCAAGACCGATGTACGTAAGCATATTCGGGTGAAACATCAAAACTACGATGTCCACGTCATCGATATTTTTCAGCAAAAATCTGGTTAATTTCTTCCAAAATAAGTGTTTGAATTGGATGTTTAACAATGTAAATATTTGTATAAAATGATGTTTTATATTGTATTGTGTACTGGAATGTATATGTACTGAAAATGTTACAGATTTAATATTTTTTGTTATAAACAATCAAATAATTAAAAATTGTTACTATCAAAAAAGCGATGACGAGAGTTAAAGAAAAATTTTAATTCTTATAACATTTCAATCGACAGAAATTATTAAGAAACAGTTCTTTTATATTATTGTTTTTATTATTATTGTAAAATTGATATTTAATAAAACGTTTTTAATGTTTGTAATATTATAACTTATACAAAAACTTATTAATTACGCAAACTTACATACGTTATACCTTCTTCTGATCTTAAGTTTTTATCATCAATTAGATTGATACAAATAATATTTAATTTCGAGATAAATAAATTTATTACTTATTTTTTCATATTTATTATTTATTTCTTTATACTCGTATTTATTATTTACTTTTTACATTAATTTTTAATCTGATATTTAATATTCTCTTTTACTGTTGTAAGTAGATATCAGACACGTTTATTATGACAAGAAATCTGTATTTTCATATTTAAAATACGTGACAATAAAACTTTACTGTGTGTTACCTTAGAATTGTTAGGGGCACAATAAATACTTAATTTATTAATTATTACTTAATTACGTATATATACATTATTATTTTTATAAATTTAAATATGCAGTTTATATAAAATTACGGAATAATTATATCTTTGCGCAAAATATCATACAATAATTTTATGTATATTTATATGCATGTAATGTCTATTTTCTACTGTTCTATCAATTAAGATAGATAGTGCCAAGTTACATCGAAAATTTTATCTATACTATATTATTTCTTATATCATATTTTTATATACGATCGATACCACGTATATATTTTTTCTAATCTTATTACGAGATGTAATGACATCTTGCATAAATGTATGTATAATACATACATAGAAACTCAATAGCAATTGCGCGGAAAAAACTGCGTATTTTATGTATATCGGAACTTTCAGGTGATTTATTTAAGGAAAAAAATAATTAATTTAAATAATTATTTAAGTTCAATTTGCCATGTGCTAGAAACTAAATTTTTTATAATTATATAAAAGAAGATTAAAATTTTGTACTTTTTAACGTAATTTGTTTCACAAAGCTATGATGATCCGAATTTAGATATTGTAATTTGAAAATACGCCGATTTATATTGATTTTTGAGACAAATTTATTTTTTTTTTTTAATCAAACGATGAGAATTATTTCATAAATTATTAATCTGAGATAAATAATTTTATTCTCATTAAAAGCGCCAAAATTTCAAACGAGACTAAGAAAGGCCATTACGATTTTCCTTCGATCTAAGAGTGAAGTCGGTGCAGCTTGAGGTGTCTGACATTTTGCTTATGGTGGCTATACTAGGATCAGCTGATCAATTAATAAATAGTAACACGTGGCACGAATGCGCGCACACAAACGCTCGCGCCAAATCTTTGAAACATTATAACTCGATGAAAAATTGACGTAATAACATGCAATAAAAACGTATCTTCTTTGTTTTTTCCCGTAGATACTTATGTGCAATTCGTATGCTCTTATCATAACATATATGTATGTGTAATAATTTTACTAAAATTAAAAAAATTTGATTTTTTAATTCTCATATGGGATATTAAAAAATATTGTCTTATATGAGATGTTAAAAAATATTGCATGGATTAACGCTATTTTTGGAAATATTAAAATTCTCACCCTTCATCATTACGTAGTTTTGACATATTTCGATCAATTTATGAGCATCTTTTTTTATGAAAAACATCAAAGTGTCTGTGATACAAAATTTTTTTGTATCGAAATTCTTCTGTAATTTGTATTGTACATGATTAAGACTACCGAACTTTTTATGTTTTCATATTTGCAAATCGGACATGGTGCTGTTGTTTGTATGTTTCAGGATATCCCTGGTATTCTTACTGTCCTTGGAACGTAAGACCGTATCAGTGTTTGAACTGTCCCAACAATTACGCAAAGAAGTCTCACCTGAAACGACACGTGATGAGCGCCTGCAACGGCAAGGAACCACGTTACAGATGTCCTTACTGCATGTACATATCGCGATATCCTTCCGATACTTACAAGCACGTGAAACGCCTGCACGAGAATCAGGACGTTTATGCTATCGATGTACTGGGCACAACTAATTATTATTCGAAGAGTACTCTCACGCAGGATAATAAGATCTTGCAGTCCAAATTAGACGAATGGTCACAAAATATCCCATCATTAACATGAAGTTTAAAATATTGTTAGGAAATCTTTTTATTTAATAGAAAATCTTCGTTTTTTTTTTGTATATATCGATATATGACATTAAATTGTATTTCTTTCATCATCATTAATCATTGCTTCTCATTGTTATTTATTCTTTTCGAAAGTTATTATGCCAAGAAGTATTTCTGCCGAATAATTTCTCATTTTTTTCTCTATTGTAGAGTCTCCTTTATTAGCGCATTATACATTTTGATATTTTTCCACTCACAAAATCCTTGATGTACCTCTTTCCAGATAAATCGATCAATTTTTTTTGTTTCCATTATTACATATATCAGTCTATTGGTCCATATTACATATTTATGTTCAGGCAAATTTTAGCATGACATTTGTCATCTAGCCCATTACTTATTTTATTGTAAGAATTTCAAAATATTTTAGCAATAGCCTGTCAAAATCTTGTCACGTGTTTTACTTACGTGTCCGAAACTTCTGCATATTATGAAAATGTGCATTATTAAATTCCTGAAGTATTCTATTTCTGAAATATTATTCTAAATGGTTTTTTCTCTCTTTCAACTTTAATAAAGTTAAATAAAGTGGATTATGTTTGAGATGCAATCTACATTTACGTAGTTTTCTGCGAAAATCACAAAGTTTGTGCGATATATGATGTAGACGACACGTAGAGGTTTCTCTCGAAGTTGATCTTAAGGCGAATAATGTGAATTTTTTTATTTTTTTTATTCAGGGATAGTCTCTGCGAGAGAGAAGTTTATTCTTGAAAAGTCTACATTCGAAGTGATCTTCACGTTAATGCAACTTGTAAATTTGTAGACAGACAATTTATAAATATGTATATAAATGTTCAAAAGATAATATCAATCATGCAAGGATTATAAACGAACGATTACTCTTTCATGTTCTTCTAGCATCGAAATCTACACTTTTGCTAGTTATTAACTGTGTTAATTGGTTGTCAGAATAAACGTTGACTGTTTTTATAATAAATATATATGATAAAAATATACAATTGAGACTAATAAAGAATTATCCTACGAGTTTTTTTTTGTGTTTTGTGATATTTGTTTCGTTTTCCAATCAATCTCGGAACGTCAGCAGTCTCGAAATGTCAGCGTACTTCGTCACATGATCGCTATCTTTTCACCATTTTATTTTTGCTTTCAGATTTGTCATCGATCTCGAATGCACAACAAATTCAAAAACATTATCATGGAATTTAAAACAAAAGCATTCGTACATAAATTCGACATGAGATGAAAAGCGATTTATTCATGTGTGTGAAGCATGAAATAGTTAAATATTGTTAGTATTATTTTCTTGAGTTAGGTATGTTATTTTTTTATTTAATAGATTAATTCTTAATACTTTTAATTTTTGTATGTAATCACGATATACTACAATTATGTCTTACAAATTAGAATTATATTTTCGTTAATTGCGATTTTTTTTGTCGTGTAATATTTTGTATGTTGTATATGATTTTTTAAATAATTAAAAATATTATTAATTCATTAATAAATTGTTAAATAAATTTTTATTTTTTAATTTTTTATCAATGACATAGAGAAATAAATTTGTTTATAATAGGTACGTCTGCCTGAAATGCAATAAGACTATCAGCATATGTATTATATATTGCGATATTTGAGATTCGAATGTGATTGTTCGCCGAGACATATATAAGTGTTCTTACTGCGATATGAAGAGCAGCGATCTAACAATATTGACAAGCATATACGCGTCAAGTATCCTGGATCGAAATTTAAGTCCATGGCACATACAAAAATGTAAAGCAGTAAGATGTAAGCAGTAAGGAAATCGTAACATTGAATTCGCTACTGGTCTTACGATCTCTACTGTGATTAGGCAATTTATTTACTGCTTTACGTTTTTGTATGTGCTACAGGCTTTCATCACACTACCTATTTCTGTCTCTCAAGAATAAATTGCAATATAATAAATTTTATTGTTAAACTTGGAATAATTTGGAGTTTTTTTTTTTACATTTTAAATGAAACATATTTACACAATATTAAATACTGTATCTTTTAAGACCGTAATGTGAGTACTCAATAAATCAGAAATAAAGGCTGTAAACGGCATATTAATATAATATATTTATTTTTTAAAAGAAAATATTAATAATGTTAAGAATAAGTAAAGAGGTTTACTGAATAAAATCACCCGATCTTTATCCTTTATTCCTAGTTTTATTCTTAACAAACGAAGTTATTTTTAATTTTAGGAATTCTTACACAGAAATTCGAAAACAATCGATGAATCTAATTAAATATTTTTTTTAGATATGTATATTGTTTTTTTGGAATATTTTATGTAGACCGACTGTTGTTTATTTTATTAACATCTCTATTTTTTTGCAGACCAATAAGACATGCTTAGGTCGTGGATCACTTGGACAATAATTTGTGGAAACAATAGCAACCGTGAGTTTTCAAGTAGTTAGACGCACATTATTTCTCGGACTAACATTATCTTCGTAGACACATTTCATCTAGTTCTTCGTCACCATTCGATATTTGATCGATCAATTATCGCGCAGTTCGTTCGTGCACAGCTTGAAGATACCTTTAACTGCTTTACTTGTTCATTTCTTACTAAACAAAGCGAATCATTCTGTCCTCATGTCACGTGAGGATGCAATTAAAGTTATCACTTAAAATAATTGCCCTCGGGAATATTCTCTTCCTTGAGTTGATTTAAATAGTTTGTTGTATCTAGTTCTTCAAGTATTTGTCGGCATACATATAGAGAAGTTCACAATTCTTTTCTGAATCCTCCAAGCTCTCGAAACTACGAGAATTGTTTTCTCACGCGAATGTGCTGCGTGTTGTTGCTTCGGAATGTTTGAGAGACAGAAAGAGAGAAAAAAAAAAGAGTACCTGAATCACGAACTTACTCCTACAAGATTTCCTTCCTACACGCCGCATCCAGCTAGCTAATCGCGCACTTCCATGTCTTTTTCAGCGTTTCTACAAATGTTTCCGTGGCCCGAGGGGATCGGAATGGGCAGTAGAGGTCTGAGGAAGATGAGGATTCGCTATCAATGTCCGCGCTGCCGCAAAAGCTACTCTACGAAGAGCGCCGTGACGGCCCATTACAAGTACGACTGTGGCAAGCCGCCACGTTTCGAGTGCCCCTATTGCGGCATGCTTAGCAAAAAGAAGTTCAATGTACAGGACCATATCAGGCACAAGCATCCGTCGAAGCTGGTCATCTGCAACACGCTATTCTAGGACAAGTCGCGCGGCCACGCATGGCACGCGCGATTAAAGGCACCCAGTACGAATGTCGATTTAACGCGTGATTCGTCCCGTGTGCCCACGCGTTTGCGTCTTTTTCGCTGACGATAGTCACGAGACAAGCTGGGATAAATGTCTATTCTACTGGAGCCTCATTCCTAAGAGAATAATGTCTTTTTGTACCTGTTAGCGATTATTAAATGTTACTTTCATTTATTATATATGTATTTTGAATGTAATGCATGTCACAAGACAAGAATTTGTATTTTTATCCCGAGTGTTCAAACGGATTTGGGAAGATTGATTTCCGTTCTAAGTTCTATATTTCGTTATTGTATCATTGTTTTTTGTTCCTTCATTCATCCAGTTCCGTAAAAAAGGTTTTATATTTGAATATTATATTACATATGTGTATTATAGATGAATATTTGCTTAAATCTCTAGGGGCGAGTGTTATAAATTTTTTTCACTTTAAAATTAAAATTCAGAATAAATTCGAAGTAAAATCGGGATTTGTGCAAATTAGTTATATTTAAGAACTGAAGATGGAAATGTATGTAGCATTAAACACTGATGTATAGTACTTCTATCAGTAAGACTACACGATTCTTCACTTACTAATAATTTTTAAGCAAAAGCAGTAAAAATAAATTGTTTTTTTTTTTAATGACAAAACGATGTTGTCCCTAGAGAATTAATGTGATAATTAATAGCACAACAGTTCGTATTTTTATTTTTTAATGTGTTTCAGATTTACGTAATTTTGTATTTAGATAAATATACGAGATATTTTTGTGCAAGATCGAATCACGTTTAATAATATATAAGACGAATTTTATTAATGAAAATGATTTCTTTCTTGGAGAAAACTTGAGTTGACTATCAATTCCCGATAGCGACTTGAGTAAAAGAAATGATATAGAAATAGATTAACATTCTACTTGAGATGTATCTTTTTTATCGGAAGATAATTGAATCTGCGATAATTGAATAATATAGAAAGATTAAGTCATTACATCTCATTACCTGACAATGTACTTAGTCATGTAAAGCGACTGAACATGCGCTTGTTTTCAAGTTTTAATAAAAATGTTATATTGAAAAAATGACTTTTGCTCTCAAGAGTTACGTTTACGTGACTCAGATTTTTACATTCTTTTGCGTCTTTTCTCTGATTCATTTGTGCTCTCTCAGTATCTGTTTTTCCTCTCTATATCTCACTTATTTATCGCGAATATTCCTTCTGCATGGAATCTTGGTGCGTTCTCATCCTTGAACAGGATGTTCCCGAGACATATCCTGAGTGAATAACAATGTTGACCGTGGCATAATCTTTTGTAGGTGGCAGACCCATGGAATTTATGATGCACCGGAAGAAATACGTGAAGAAACGGGATATTACACAATACAATTCAAGCACCGGCAAATTCCACTGTCCCAATTGCAACAATGGTTACGGCAGACGGGATACCATGCTCGGTCATTACAGGTACGAGTGCGGCAAAGCGCCCAGGTATAAGTGCCCATACTGCAATCTCTGCAGCAAGAAGACTTCGAATATTTATCAGCATGTAAGGTGTATGCATCCAAAAGAGCAAGTGACTCTCGTGAAACTTTATTGAGCTCTTAACATCTTCGCCATGATGAACGTGAACCAGTGTGAAAAATCGAAGAGATTATTCTTCTGGATCTACTCGCCGAATTGACTGATGGGAATTTTTATTTATTTTTTATCATTTACGTTTAGTCGTTTTCATGACTTGAATGATATGATTTTGTTCTCCGATTTACGATGAATAAGTAGAATCAGTGGAAAAAGTTTACATGCATGGAGGAAAATAATTTTTTGCTGTTGTAACAAAATTATCATTGCTACTGTATATTCTTTTTAGGGTGCTAACTAATCGAGCTACCCTTTTCAGGGCAAGAGAGTGGTATTTTACTTTTTGAAAGTACGTATTACTGATGTGAATCCGTATTGCGTATCATGGATTACAAAAATGTGAACAAATGTGCTTTGTTCGTGTTATTTCATAATACAAAAAGTTTTAATAATTAACTCTTCGTTGAATACATACTGAATGCGAACGACAAAATTATTTTAATTCTCTAAAACTCAATTTTTTTTTATTTTGTAAGAACAAAAATACAATGTTTATAAAAAAAATCTCTGTTTTTTCAATTCCTAAAATAACCTACATTTAATATGCAAAATAAATACTTTTTATCCAAAACCAATTTACAAACTAATTTATTTTTCAAAGTATCTGAACAACAATTCTGTAAATTTTGAACTTTTAATATTGAATTTTTAAAAAGTTATAATTTTTCAAAGATTTTTCTCTATTCATTGAACTCAAGAATTTTTTCCGCAAAAACTGTAATGAAATTTCAATAAAAAACTATTTGAATGTATTTTATAGACCTTGAAATTGACCCATAATATTTTTCATATTAATTGGATTTTTTAAATAAGAACACCAGTTGTTTAAACATTTCTCTGGGCGTGAACCACCCAGTGTGATCGAAAAAAGGGGATCGAAGAGAGAAAGAGAGAGTATGTCAACGAAGTGTTAAACAAACATTTATTTATTCTTGCCTCAAAATAATTTACAATTTTAGCAAAATTATATTTAGCAAATAGTAATTAATACTCTTAACAGATTTCATTGCTGCCCACATAAAAACTGATAGATTTTGCTACAACATAAAAAATCTGTTGTGCTAGCGAATTATTTTTCTCTCTCTGTGTGCATGCGTATAATTATTAGAGAATTTCAGAGAATAATTTATTATTGTGCGAAACGTTAAAGAGATTTATACATATGATTGTATATATGACGCATAATTGATTGTATTCGATTTGTGATTGGTTCCAAAGTATTTTTTAAGTGTTGTATTTTAAATATCTTTTTACTAAGTTATTGCTAATTTAATTTGCGTAACCGGAGCTGCTCCGATTTTGAAACCTGCAATTTTATCCTTTTAAAGAATTCAAGACTGTATTGTATATAGCGTTCTCAAATGTAAAAAATAAAAATACACGAAGAAGAATTCAGAATTCTTTCTATTATTTGGATGATATTCTATTATTGTGTGGCATATTTTATAGCAATAAATTTTCACGAAAGACCTAAATGTGTTTCTTCTGTTATCGCTACTTGAGATAAATCTCACGTAAGAATTGTGCCAAGAATTACGTAATAATTAATATAATGAAAATAATCGATTACAGATATACTCGTTACATATTCTTTTCTAAGTGCTAAGTGCTTTATGCTATAAAAACTCAAGATCTTTAATCATAAATACACAAAGATGAAGAAACTTGCTGATAATAATATACGTGTAATGATGGTAGTAAATAAGAACTAAACTAGTCATTCACATCTAACATCACCTAAAATGTAAAGAGTTTTTCTGTACTATAAGTCCTCGTTCTCAAGGATAAGTTGAGTTCAGTTCCAGCCTGATGTATCAGATTTATGTGATTATTTATTCTCTTTTCCTCGAAATTCTTGAGTTCAAGAAATATATTAGGCTCCACCGTTATCGCGTGACAATAAATTTGTTAGGCATATAATAATGATGATGTAATTATAAGCTTAGAATATCTTAGGTGCTTAAATTTTTGAAAAATATGGATTAAAATTTGTCGACAGAATGCAGTTGTATTGGACAACATAATTATTACTACTCGATTATTATGGCTTGTGTTCGTTATACAATTTCACGAACATTTTCACGAAGGAGACTCCGTTGGTTTCCTTGTTTCATGCGTATAGCCATTGTGCAGTCATAGTTGCGTGCCAACAGTTATCATTGTGAATAATGCGAATTGTCATTAACACGAGACGACATCGGTTTCAGAATTATGGGACAACGGACTGATGGACAAGGCAGAGCTATCCCAGATGGTGTCGCGAAGATCGCAACAGCAGCAACACTTACGTAAGACGATGAAGAGCACTATTGATTCGCACGACCGGAGGCATCACTGCCCGAAATGCGAGAAGTCCTTCTCTCAGAGTTACTCGATGTACCGGCATTATAGATACGAATGTGACTCATTGCCGCGTTTTCAGTGCCCGTATTGTGGCCATGTGAGCAAATGGTCCCATTCGATCTACAATCACATCAGGAAGATCCATACGGGACAGAAGGTCATGCTGAACAAGCTCTACTAATCCACAATGAGAAGAACACTGTACGATATATCAATAAGATACTAATATACAGTCGTCAATAAAATCGAATTCGTTTCGTTTGTTATATTCTTTAACGGCAGTGACTGTTCCTGTTTAAATGAACGTTTGCTTCTCAGTGTGTTCCCTTGAAAGTTAATTGGCTATCCAAAATCTGTAGATTAAGATGGAAAACTCGGAAAAACGATTTAACGTGAATTACAACTATATCAATATAGCTGTATTATAATTGTTTTAATTAACATTGCAAAAATAAAATTGAAATGATTTAATAATTTTAACTGTAATAAGACTAATTTTAGAGTGTAATACCGAAGAAGCTTACGTATATGCACATAGCTTTTCAAGCATATGATTTTCAAGCATACATTCGATACAGATGAGATCGAGAGAATCTTCGATCGTTTCCGAGGAGGAGAAGGAGGCATCCCAAAATTCTTGCGCATTCCCATCCTCTTCGCTGCCTCGAATTCCCCCGCTATTAAGAGATCACTGGTTGCATATTGCCGCTCTAACATAGATTTCCGTTTCTATTTGTGCTTGCAGATACTTTCAGGCCGATCATTTTGAAGTACCACAGCTTGCGGAATTCCCGTCACACGCTCAGACTTCAAGCCTCCGTGAATCGGCGCGGGTTTCCCTGTCCCAAGTGCGCCCGTGTCTTCCGCACTACCGGCGGCATGAGCCGACACTATCGGCTAGAATGCGTCGACATGCCGCGCTTCAAGTGTCCGCACTGCGAAATGCGTAGCAAGTACACGCAAGCTGTGTACAGACACATCCGGGCGAAGCATCGTAATATGGAGTTGCGATTCGTCAAGTTGTACTAAACGCGATTTCGAGACTGACGTAGTTTAATTTATATATATATATATATATATATATATGTGTGTGTGTGTGTATATATACACACGTATCGAGATAGAGTTAAATCTCTTCCTCTCAGAAAAAGATACCTCGTTCTGCCCCTTCCTACCCTTTTTAGGATGTTTTATAGAAGAAATTTGTACCGCAAATACAGGCATTTTCAATTAATCGCGCGTGTAATTGCGCGCGATTAATAAATCATTTTCAATAAATTCCATAATGCGATTGATTTTATGATTTAAATATAATATTTCTGATACTTTTAATAAAAATTAATTATCAAGCTTCTAGATCATTATTAGATTTTCGTGAGATCAGAAATAAATTGATATTTATATTTAATAATCATGATTGATATAATCATTTGTCTTTATAGTATAAATTCGTCTTTATCGAAGAAACAAATCAAATGGTTGAAAATGATAGTTATGCGCGAATAACAAATTTCTGTGATAAAACTGAAAGTTTATAATATGTTGCGTTATAGAATATAGTCATATTTAACTTATGTTAATCATATGCATAAACGAAAGTAATTGTTATTAAAAATTGACATTGAATTAGCCGATCGGCGCGATTTAAATTCTGCAAATATTTCGTAAACATGAACGATATGAATATTTGTGATATATCGAGGAATTTGTATGTGTTTCGACTATAAACAGATAAATATAGCCTTTTTTATTTTCTTTCATGAGTTTCTTTCAACCACGTTGTCTTCAAGCGCTATTTGCAAGCTGCAATTGTTGCTTCACTGATAATGTGGAAAATATTGAGTGAATGATGAGATGATGAGAGATTTCTTTGATGTACTTTTAAAAAGAATTACATCAGAAAAATAATCTAAACAAGTATCAAACTTATGTGTATTTTTAATTATATTTGTTAATTATTTAATGCATAGACACTTATGATTAGAAACGTAGAAATAAGAAATTTAAGATTTATCTTTCAAACAAGCAAGAAATAAAATGCAAAATATAAATTTTAAAATCTGAGAAATCTCACTATCTCATTAAAAATTAAATTTATTAGAGACAAAATCATCACAAATAATTTTTGTATAATTATTATGTATGTATAGTATACTTCGAATGTGTTTAAAACGTCCAAATTATTTTATACATTGTTATTTCACGAAGTTATGGTTTTCAGTCAATTTTGAACACTATCATTATTATCTGTAATTTTTTTCCTAATGTTTTTAACTATTCTACATGAATTGACTTTTTTTCTAAAGTCATTACAATATTTCTTCAAATTCAAAATATCTATCAAAAAATAAAAAATTAAAAAAATTAATAAACTATAATAACAATGGTCTTGTTTCTGTTTTTGTTTTTTTCAAAAAGTATGATTTCGATTTATAAAACATTTTTGGAAAATTAATGTAAAAAAGTATATATGCGCATTATGTATTACTTAAAAGTCATTTTAAATCTTAGAGTACATTAAAAAATACATTAAAAATATGTTCATTTTTTAGCGATATTGATATTTTATATTTTCTTTATAATGATAATAATAGTATGATATTTTAACATTTTTTAACACGTCCAAGAATGTGTCCAATTATGTGTTTTATTTAATGTTTCCGATTTATAAAAATTATAAAATAGATGATTAAAACAATGTTTTTGGCATTCCTAATTCCCATACTTTATTCTTGTCGTTCATTAAGGTATATTTATATTATCTACGTATGGGAATATTTATGTTGGCATTTGGTTAAGAGCAAAAAAAATTTGCAAACTTTTAAATTTTTAAATTTATGTAAATAAGTTTATTCTTTTTTTTGGCATGTAATTCCCAATGTAGGGGCTGCGTAATTTATTATATCATAATAATTTATATTAAATGTGTGTGCGAATCAAATTTTCTTATTTTAAATTATTTAAAACAGAAAAATGGATAATTTTAAAAAAATATTTAAAAATTAATTCGAAAATTTGCAACTAGCATGCGTTAATAATGTTTTATATCAATGTCGTAATATGAATGTAAAATTATATATATATATATATGTGTATTTGAACATATTTTATAAATACCATCAGTAAAATGACAACAAGACATATCTTATCAATCAATAATTTCCTTGAATATTATTTATAAGCACTATGTTATAAAGTGCATGACGTATTTTATGTTGTATTTTATAGCTAACTTGTCATCCTATTACCAAATGCATTTTTTCATCTTCCAATTAAATAGGGTGAACCAAATATGAATTTAAATGAATTGTCAGAACGACGGTACGAGATGTGAGATTTATTTTTTTTTCTTCAATTCTAGACTGTATTTTAATCATCATCCTTGAAGAAGAATGATATATCATTTTTGAAAGTATCGACAATATTCGCGTTCGAATGTAGATTTGCTTTTTATGTTTTTGCTTGATATCGTGTAAGTTTTATATATAACAATGATAAGAATATCTTGCAGGTCATTGGCCGAAGCCAAGTCTATCTGAATCACATGTGTGCATTGTTGAAATATCGGGACGTTGATTTATGAGAGCGCCGTAAACTCGAACGAGAGTACTTGCTTAATTCTTCTGATTTTGTAACAATTCTTCCAGGTAGATCCATGTCCTACAGTGATAGCTGGTCCAATTTTCCCCATTACTCCCGAGATGCGGCCGGACTTCAAAGTTTCTCACCGAAGGACGCCGTAGTGCGACATCAGCGATTCCGCGGTGATCATCGTGAGAGACGCTTCTTCCGATGCATCTACTGCGAGTACCAATCCAAGTACAGCTCGAACGTGTACAAGCATATGCGAAGGATTCACAAACACATGCCCTTCTTTAAGCCAAATCGATTGTAGTAGTAAGTTTCGGAAGGCGCGAAAATATTGTCGATAAAGAACGATTTTCCGCGAGAGAGAAATTTTTATCTTAAGAAATTATGAATAACTAGATACTTTAAACCTCAATATTGAAATATCAAAAATGAATTTACTTTATATGAACATAGTGTTTCGATGAAGATATTTTGACAATGTTTGTGTGATGACAAAATTATTATGATTAATTTGAAGATTTTCATGAATTTCCGTATTCCGACAAAGAGAATACATGACATTGACAAGTTTATCGAAACCAGAACTAGCTATAGTTAAATTATTTTGCCAATTTGTCTAATTAACTTGATGATTAATCAGCAGCAATTAATTTAAGAATTATATTATTTCTTCAAATTAATTTCATTATAACAACATGTGTGCCGTTTCTCTTTAATATATATATATATATGTATATATATATATTCTAGTATCTTTGCGTTCTTTAAATTTTCGTTTAATCAACTGGGCCTTAAAGATGCTATTAAAGAAGTTAATTATTTATTTGTTTGATTGTATGTGAGTTATTTACATATAATTCTTTCTATACTTATTTTTAATCTTAAAATGTTAAAAAATGACAAAATGTTATAAGTAATAAATTACTAGTTATGCGTTTTTTGATCAAATTTACACTACAAAATGTTGCACTGTGGATTTGTAATACTTCTTAACCATTGAGCAATAAACGTTGTTGTTCATATATTGATCGATTAAGACGTAATACCATTATCCTTTTGCATTCCTTATAATTTATAATATTGATAATTTTTTTAAACAAATCTTTTTAAAGACGATAATTTTACGCGATTAGAAAGTACACTTTTCTTTTTCAGGTTCGATGGTTGGATTTATTAAGTAAGCTCAACGAAAGAATATATTTATTAACTAACAATTCTTTTCACTGTTATTATTTCCTTCATTAACAATAAATAATTTTCTTAAAAAATTAAACTCAAGATTAGATGTCAACAAATTTTTATAACTCTCTTTATTATATCTTCTTAATTGTTTCTTTCGCTATTTTTTTCTGTAATTATTTATTATAAGATTTAATTCCGAGTATATGTTTTCAAATGTTTATATATAAGAATAATCGCATACTTCTTTTTATATTTTTGTTTTAATTTTCCATAATTACGTAATACTATCTTTTGTATATATATATTTTGACTCTTTCTTTTTAATATACAACAATAATAATTATATATTAATATAAATTTTTTAGATTAAGAGCATTATTATTTGATATTCTAGTCAAGCATGATAAGATATCTATTTTTCAATAAGATTCAAAATAAAAATTTTACGACAAATATTGCCATTAAAATATACGATATTATATCGTTAAAAATATGACATTATAGCATGTAAGTATTAAAAATAATAGCGAAAGACTACAGCTTTGTTTCTTGAGTCTCACAAAATTAGTTTTTTTCTGGACTTTTCGTCAATCGTGCGGAATATATTTCGCAGTTTGGAATACTTTCACTGACCTCGATCTCGATCTGTTTTTTTTTTTTCAGTATTCCGTAGGGATCGTCATATAATCGAGCATAAGGAGAGATACTTCTGTCCACGGTGCAACAGCTCGTTCAGCAAGAAGAGCAACATGCTGACACATTACAGGCATGAGTGCGGAAAAGCTCCAAGATTCCAGTGTCCTTATTGTGGAAAGAAAGATAGAAAGTCCTCCAACACTTATAGGCACATCAGAATGCATCATAAGGGCAGCAGCATTCAAGCATATCGGCTATACTGAATCAAGAACGTTTTAATGTCTTCGCACGGAAGACAAATGACATTTCGTCGAGACTGGTCAACCGAATTATCAAGTCCTGATCTTCTCTACCATGAGAGCATCGCGTTATCTGCTGGACCAACAAGTGATGTCGTAAAGGAGTATGGTACCTGAGGAATCTACAGCGAAGAGTCCATTTTTTTTCGTATTTCGCTTATTCAAGATTCTTCTGGTCGATGTACTCGATCACGATAATAAGATCTCTAACACTGCGACATTGTCTCCTTTCTCCCCTCAAGATATCCTTCATTATATCCTATCACCTTGATGAGCTGCCGAATTCTCCTCGGTCTCTACTTGATCCACGTTTTACTCTGCTACTTCGCCGTCCTCGTGCGCCTCTCCGATTGTGATGGCACAGACGCGATCTGGAGATATCTCTTCATTTACATTTTTTGCTCATTCGTCTTCCTTTTATCGTGTCGCCTGTTACGTTCTTTTTTGTTCTGGCCACAGTTACGTCACACGTTTGTCCAGTGTTCTTGATCCAGACTAATCGTATCTCTCCTTCTTCCTGTTCGTAGGACGATTCCTGGAGCCCTACCACGCTCGTATCATGGACATCCTGAGCGTGAATTACAGTGGTAGCCAGAACGTGATCAAGCGTGAAAACGGACCCTTTTGGCATTCCGGAAAGATGGCGTATCACTGTCCCAGATGCAATGCCGGCTACACTTACAAGAAGACACTGAAGACTCACATGAAGTACGATTGCGGGAAGGAGCCGAGGTTCAAGTGCCCTTATTGCAGCAAGAGGGATAAGTGCTCGTCGAATATTTACAAGCACATTAGACTACGACACAACGGAAAACCGGTATACGTGGACAGATTAGAGTCATCTCGTTCTTCTAACTCTTCCTTTCGTGATTCGCCGTCTGCCATCGGGCAATCACCTTAACTTGTGTGGACTAAATCAAGACATTTTTGTGATACAGGTGATGAAAGTGGCTGTAAAAAAAAGAAAAGAAGAGAGGAGGAAAAGAGATTTTGATTTGTAACATTATCTATTTTATTTTAAATAATTGATAATGATTATGAAATATATAAATACATATATATATTTTTACATTTATCGTTTTTATTTTATGTTACGGCTTTAATTTCTTTATATTATATATACAATTATCATTTTAACTTTACATTGGTGATATAAAATTTGATTTGATTTTCTTTTCGTTAGCAGAAAAAAGTCTTTTAGATCTTCCGTTTAATTGATCTTATAATCTTTCCGAATTTTAAGAAATGACAGTTTGTTCATATTGATGATATACATAATTATAAATAAAAAAAAGTAGAATATATTATTATAATAAATCTAATAGAAAAAGCATATTATGTCTAAACGATGAAATATTACATCAAATTTATTTATTAATTTTTTTTATAATTTCAAATTTATTTTTAAATTCTATTGAGTTTAAAGCTCGTCAACTTAATATTTTAATTCGAAACATATATAGGGAAGTCATTGTTTTCAAGATTTTTCGTTTTTACGTCCGCATAAGAAGAATGTACAGTGCTCATTTCGGAATGTGTATAAATTCGAAATATTTGAAAATAGACACAAACGTGCGTTATATAAATGTAAAATTTGTAAATGTAAAAATATATTTCGATTTTCTTTCCTCATTGTAAGTTCCTATCATGTAAAAACTGCAAAGTTTGCGACTGCAATAAAACGATTGAAGAGCACATTTTCAAAAGAATTTAAATCTAATCTCAATAAAGTTAACTTTTTCTTTTAATGATGTATAATAACGTATCGAGATTTCGGTCTGCATCTGAAAAGAAATGAATCGTGCTTTTAGAAATTGCTCTTCGATTACATTGTTATGTATATCATTTGAGAACTTATGTGCAGTCAACAATCTGACTCGTTTACGATGCTCGAATGTATCGTTTACCTCAATAAAATAGTAAAAAAAGGCAAACGTAGCTATGACGATTGATTCGTCTGAAAAAGTACGTCTGCATCTTCATCGAGTAATTGTAAGCTGCATGAATATTCTCGCATTAATTTTTGTGTATTTTTATATAAATTTCTTTCGAGATTCGTATGATTCACGATCTAAAAATAGTCTAAGATAGTTTTATTGTCAAACAATTTTATGTGAAATATTCTATATAAAAGGCAGATATTTTTGTTTTATATTGTCTAAATTTACGTGGATTTTCGTGGATTCGTAATTTTTACAAGAGTGTAACGTCAGAGAAGTCACATGTATTTATAGTGAATAAAATTCGTATTTATTGCACGTCGCTTGATTACTCGAAGGTAACACGAAGGGAAATAAAGTGCTTCATTATTCCTCAAGATGCACATCAGTATTATGCGTTTTGTAGTCATGGATATGATGTATCGATGATTTTTGTCATCTTTTTTTGTACAGCGAAACAAGGTCCAAACAAAACGTCTCGAAGCATGGTGAGAGCGATGCCGATTTTCAATCTTCACGTAATATTTGCGCGACAACGAATTGTCGTACAGAATTAAATACGGTGTAATGTAAAGATTTTCGACGTATGATTCAATACACAGGCTACGGCATTAGAATCGTATCGTTTGACTGCGTTACGATGTCGTTCAGTTTCGGGAAGCGTACTTTCGTGTGACGCGGATCACAAAAATCAGAAAAAAAAATTGTATTAATGTCCTGGCTTGCTTTCAGATATACAACTTTCGGGATGGCGTTCTGTAAGACCGGTGACCAGCTACATCTGTGCGAAATGCAACGCGGGCTTCCGGAGGACGTGGGACTTGATTAGACATAAATGCGGCCAAACGCCGCGATATGCGTGTCCATATTGTCACAAAAAGGATAATTCGTCCTCGAACGTTTACAGACACATCAGACGATGGCATCCGAATCATCCCGTCGGTGTCAACAAAATGTTCTAAACAATACCGTAGCGGGATACCAATTATCGACTGAAAATATATTCCTATCGACGATTTACACATGTGAGAATAAATAATCTGAACGATGTCACAGCGAAATACTTACGTACGTGAATAAATTTTTTTTTAGATATCTCTTTCAATAGAATTTTCTACATAATAAGATATTCCTTTCTCGTAAACCTGTGATATACTATCTGAATCCCCAATGATTTAATAATTTTGCTATATATGCATTCAGCATTTGAAGTTTCTTTAATTGTACAAATAATTGAATTTTTTACTTAGTAGTATTTTTATTTTTAATGTTTCAATAATGTGAGATATCATCGTTAATATGATAAGAAATATATCATATCGGAAATCATAGTTGCGAATCCAAGTTTATACTAAATGATTTACTCGTGAATTTTATTTGTTTAATTTTAACATAAGCTCGCATGCAATATTATCGCACAAAAGATTTATTTCAACATTAAATAGGATATAAATGGACTACAGAACGATGACGTATAAGTTTATTATATAGTATGTCGAGTTGATGTGTCTTACATTGTGTGATTACAATTCAGCTTCGAGTTTTGCGTGCGAAATAAATTGTATGGCTTTATTTATGTTTTCCGATCTGACTTGTCTTGTGCCGCATTCGTTTGTTGCGAATATAATGATCCATAGGAACGAGAACGATCCATGCAAATCTATACTGTATTTTCTAGACGATGATCTCTCGTTTATTCATAGTAAAGATAATTTTTTTCCAACCATGAATTAGCATCGATCGTTTTCGATTCCGAGCAACTGACGCATCCACTCTGTGAGAACTCTCGCAGAGTAGATACACTTTACTGATCCAGCTGAAGTGTGCGTTTGTTCTTATATTAATCTTACTTCTCTCTACTATTCGTCAACACGGATCCGTGCACACCACGATTTCGGTCGAGAACGAAAATCCGAAGAATGAATTGCGCCATCCCTAATTTGACTCTTTGAATTTTTCAGGTGTCCACCAGTACGAAACGAGGCAAATAAGGAAACGAGGCAAAGTGTACTCCGTGAACAAGAGTCACTATTGCCCACGCTGCAACCGTGGCTTCACCTTGAAGAAGAATATGTCGCGGCATCTGCGCCATGAGTGTGGCATGGCGCCCAAGTACCAGTGTCCGTACTGCGACAAGCTCTCCAAATTCACGCAGAACATTTACGCACATATCCGAAAGTATCATCCCGGTCAGGCTTTGTGCTTTAGACGGTTGTATTAAATAATCATTGAACGTAATGGCGTCCTATTTCTTCTTCGTTTGCTTCCATAGTCACCTTTTGTCACTTGGGAAAAGGAGAAAATGAAAATTGTCCTTGTGTGAAAAGGAAAACTCAATAAAATCGCTGGGAGTCGAGTTACCAGAGTCCAGTCTCTGATCCCGTTTTTATGACGAAGTAAATTCAGAAATTATTTCTCTCTAGTAAAGTTAACGCGTCGAAGCAGGAGGTCGGCGATCCGGAAAGAGTTAGCCCGGATCAAACGAGTCCTCGTACTTCGCGTACCGCGGGCTCGCTTCCGCTTCTTCTAACCGTGATGGTCGTTCTCGATTTCAGGTGCTGCCAAGAGACTCGGTCCCCGACACAAGCGGTTCATCTGCAAGCGTTGCAACAGACGATACGTCTACAATAGGGACCTGACGAGGCATCAGATGTATGATTGCGGCAGATCGCCGCGCTTCAAGTGTCCGTATTGCGGCCAGCGGGGCAAGTATCGCTCCATCATTTACAATCATGTGCGAGCGATACATCCCGAGATGCACGTTATGTCAGTAGACCTCGGTGATGTCCGTCTCGCATAGACGTGTGATTCTGAAGAAATCGTGACATTGATTTTTGTAAAATATATGGTATGACGAGAGTTGA